GTGTGGTTATGTAGGAAGGAGGAAGAGGAAGATGCCAAGGTTCACTCCTGTTTGTGCGGCCGAGTAGAGTGTGTTGGAACACGAGTTTACGCCTACGTCATACTAAACTATGTTCAGTTTTATGACAGGTTTTGATAATGCCAAACCGCCGTGACACAACAAGGCTAAAGTGAGCAAAACCAAGGCGAAGAAACACGGCATGATGACATGTGAACCAAGAACCAAGAATCAAGAACAAAGAATTAGAATTGCATCGAGTCGGTCTTAATGTGATCAAGACCAGCACAAACTTCCAAATCTTGGCTCTCTAGGCTCATTTCATCAAAACCCTTTTTGCAAATTCAAAAATGTTTTTCATAAGTTTTTAAACCTGGCTAAAAACACTTGGAGTTCGCCCAAACTAAAAACCAAGTCATCCGGCGTTCGGCTTTCAGAAATCGGCGTTCGGCTTTCGGTTTTTGGCATTGGTTTTTGGGCATCCGAACCAACCAAGTGGTTTTCAACTTTTTTTGATTGGTTTTTACTTCTGGGCATATTTAAATAGTTCTCCAACAAAAACGTATTAAAAACCACCTTCCGTTTATGGTCGTTTAGTGAAAACCATGCAAAACGACACAAACTTGGTTAGCCGTGGTTTTCAACTAAATGACGTGGTTTTTGAGTTGTTTAACTTGAATTCTTAGCAAAATGCAATAAACAAATGTTTTCAACACTTGGTTTTTATTTTGGAGAACTTACGTTTTTGACATCGGCTAACGGCATGACTAAACCAACCGTGGGTCTGGCTAAACCAGCCCAACAGCGATGTTGGTGAAACCAACAGCGCTGTCTGGCTTGAGTAGCTGAAAACCATAGTTTGGCGTTAAGTCTTCCAACAGCGATGTTGCACACTAGACATCACTGTTGAGCCAAGGTTGGGTTTCCAGAAGCTTTTGGAACAGCGATGTAGCCTTCCCTACAGCGATGTCCAACCTAATCCAAAAATATAGTGCATTGGCAGAAAGTTTTTGGACAGCGATGTTGACCCAGCAACAGCGCTGTCAGGCCAAAAACCTCCACCTTCAAAGTCAGACCTAAACAGCGATGTTCAAGTATTGAACAACGATGTAGGGACCTGACCGTTGGAAGGGATTTAAGGCTAAAACTTTCCTTGTTTGGAAGTCAACAGCCAAAACAGCGATGTAGGATTATTGGACATCGCTGTTGGCATGACCGTTGCTTCCCAATTTTCAAAACGCAAGCCTAGAACAGCGATGTCCAAGCCTAGGACAGCGCTGTCTGGGTGAATTTCAGCAAATCCAAATTTAATCAAATCCCACAAATTGTGCCAATCACCCCTTAAATGTTTTGATCCGTTGGAGCCTATTTTTTCACTATAAAATGGGGTGTTTGGGTCTATTTTACATAAACACATTACTTCACAATCTCTACTCCTTCATTGCAAATCATTCATCCTTTATTCATAGCTTTTTGAAAGCCATTTTTGTGAAGCTTGTGGTGTGTTCTTGAGCGTTCTTAGTTACTCATTATCCACTCTAAAAGAGAGTATTGTTCTTGAGTGTTTTTAGTGTTCTTAGACACTTGACAAGAGAAAGTATTTCTCTTGTTGTTCGAAGGAAGGGTTGTTTCCTTCGAAGGTTCGTTGAGGTTCGTGTGACTCGAACTCTCAANCACATTACTTCACAATCTCTACTCCTTCATTGCAAATCATTCATCCTTTATTCATAGCTTTTTGAAAGCCATTTTTGTGAAGCTTGTGGTGTGTTCTTGAGCGTTCTTAGTTACTCATTATCCACTCTAAAAGAGAGTATTGTTCTTGAGTGTTTTTAGTGTTCTTAGACACTTGACAAGAGAAAGTATTTCTCTTGTTGTTCGAAGGAAGGGTTGTTTCCTTCGAAGATTCGTTGAGGTTCGTGTGACTCGAACTCTCAAGTTGTACGGGTTTGTTAAGCACCGTTAAGCTTAACGAGATAGTAGTGTAGCTCGAGAGAGTCTCTCGGGAGGCTGGATTAGCAACAAGTTGTGGTGAACCAGGGTAAAATCGGTGTGCCTCTTACTCTTCTCTTTACTTCTCGTTTATTCATTTTTTATTCCTGCGATTTCTTGATCAAACGCTATTCACCCCCCCCCCCTCTAGCGTTGGTCTATTATTCTAACAGAATGAACGGTGATTATGTTCGATTTCAAACGCAAGTCCCTGATTGGGACAAATTTCAGTCCCAGTCGGGGTACACTTTTTGGTCCAACTTTCTCCAAATTGAAATTCGATTGAACCGTTGGAGTCAGACAGTCAAAGTCTACACAACGATATAATTTTCACTAATTATTGACAAACTTTATAATTCACTTATTTTTGGGTCCTTCTCAGTAATTAATTAATTATCAATTAATTAATTCTGATAGGCCTATTTTTGGGGCGTTACATTTATATAATTAAAAGTTCGTTGCATTATATTTTTTTCAAAACAAAAAAACGATACACACAAAAAGTGTCTGCTGATTACAATGCCCAAATTTGGTAGTGTATTTCAAAACACAAGTTCTGGTAGTGTACCAAACAATTTGCTTTAAATTAGGCAGTGTAGTGTGATCAGCAGATACTTTGGTTTCTAAGCAATGGGTTTGTGAACTTTTGGTAACACTACGCTTTTTGTTGATGGTTACAAACCATTGCTTAGAAAATTGTTCTTACCACTTGTATTAACTACTTATCGTATTGCTTTTTCACCTGAAGATGTAAAATAAGAAACATGTTTTCTGTTCTCTTATATGGTATTTAGAGTTTTAATTAATACATTAAGCTAAACTTTGTAGTATCATACTAACCTTCTTGATGACTGTTGATCACACTACCCAAATTTGGCAGTGTATTTGAAAACACAAGCTGTGGCAGTGTACTAGAAAATTTGATTTAAATTAGGCAGTGTAGTGTGATCAGCAGATACATTGGTTTCTAAGCAATGATTTTGTGAACTTTTGGTAACACTAAGCTTTCTGTTGATGCTTACAAACCATTGCTTGGAAATTTTTTGTTACCACTTGTATTAACTACTTATCCTATAGCTTTTTTACCTGAAGATGTAAAATAAGAAACACGTTTTTTGTTCTCTTATATGGTATTTAGAGTTTTAATTAATAGATTAAGCTAAACTTTGTACTATCATCACTTTTGGGAATGATGACTACCGTAAATGAGCACATAATCGGGACAAGAACCTAACCGTTTTTAATCATTCCGGTTGCCTTCATTTTCTGTTTTATAGGTTTGACTCCATCCATACTCGCCCTATTGATTTTCCAGAAGGCGATCACAGACAGGCAACGTCATCATTTGTAGCTAATATAGTCCTTCATCGTTATGTAGATGCTACTAAGAAACCATACCCTCCTAATGACTTGTGTGAGGACATGAGACGGGAATATGGCATTACAATTGTTAGAATAATATACCAACGCTAGAGGAGGGGTGAATAGCGTTTGATCGGAGAAATCGCAGTAATTAAAAAATTAAAATGGAAGTAAAGGGAAGAGAAAAAGGCACACCGAATTTTACCCTGGTTCACCACAACTTGTGGCTAATCCAGCCTCCCGAGAGACTCTCTCGAGCTACACTACTATCTCGTTAAGCTTGCGGGTGCTTAACAAACCGTTACAACTTGAGAGTTCGAGTTACACGAACCTCAACGAATCCTTCAAAGGAAACAATCCTTCCTTTGAATCAACCGAGAGAGGTACTATCTCTCAACGTGTCTAAGAACACAAGTACACTCAAGAACGAAACTCTCTTATAGAGTAGATTATGAGTAAACTAAGTACGCTCAAGAACAACTCAACCTTCACACAAAAATTGCTCTAGAAAGCTATGAAAAAATGATGATATTTGAATGCAATGAAAGTATAGATGTTGTGAAGTGAATTTGTGAGAAAAAGCAGACCCAAACACCCCTTTTTATAGTGCCAAGATAGGCTCCAACGGACCAATACATTAAAGGGGTGATTGGCTTGATTTATGGGATTGAATAAATTTGGGATCTGCAGGATATTGGCTTCCCATCGATGTTTGGAACTTACCCATCGCTGGTAAGCCAATTTTCCTTCAGTTTTGAAGCCAACGGTTACCTACCCATCGATGGGTAAATGCTTCCCATCGCTGGGTGGGAGGTTGACTTTCAAATAAGGAAAGAATCAGCCTTAAATGACTCCCAACGGTCATGCCTTCCCATCG